TGATGGGGAAAGGTTTGACACTTTACTTATATGTGCCAAATTTGTCAATAATATAATGCCATTTTTCTCAACATATATTGCAACATTTAAACTAACAAACTTAAGCACTTTAAATTATTTGTAATAAAAATTAATCCACTTTAATGTATGTATTCAGAATTAATATGTAGGGATTTATATATATTTATTTTACCTAACAATTTAAAGTTCAGACTTTTCTATAAGCCATCATACCCCTAATTGTCAGTGCCAGAATAGGTAAATATTGTAGCGCGCAAGAAGGAATGCAAATTTCTAATTTGTAGAAAGTATTTAAAAGGCGAGTTTCAGTAGGGGTTAGAGAGAATTAGGCTTTAACCGCCGTCTAACAGTGTCAGAAAGCTTCTATTAGCTCATATAAATGCCTCTGCGATAACGAAAATGAAAAAGTAATCCTGAAACATGGACCTCATTTGGAAATAACATAGTTTCACAAATTGATTACAAGAATGTTACAGCAATTTTTCTAATAATAAAAATAACAAGCTACAATGATGGCAAAAAAAGCATCTAATTTACAACTTCTTTTAATACCAGCTTGCATCTAGCATGTGCAATAAAATATAAAGAAATCTGCATTCAATAAAAAATCAACCCTTCCAAGGAAATAAAAGAAAATAGGATACACATAATCGCAAGTTTAATTTCAGATGTTAATAAAATAAAAATTATGAGGTATCAGATAAATCTAATTTGCTAAAACAACTAATGAGTTTTTAACTACACTGATTAAATGCACTGCAAATAATAAATTAGAAAAATGTAGGCTAAAAACATGATAGGCTGTGTGATAATTAAAAATAACAGATATGCACAGTTGAGAGGATATGTCTTAAAAGGAATTTATCATATTATATGATTAATGCAAACTAGATGTACAAAAAATTTATCACTACATTATAATTACCAACTATTCAATTTACTTCGATGAGGTGAAATGTGTTTTAGATACTTAGCAAAATTAAGAGTTATATTTGCACTTTTAAAATCCAACGAATCATATACTATATTTATGTGCATACAGATAACTTGAGTGTATAGATTATGGTTACTGAAATACGGCAAAGCATATAAGGATTATCTGCCTAAGATGAGGTGTGCCTTTGATGTGGACTTTTTAATGGGGGGGAATTGAAGGCTTATATTATAACTACACAATGGGAAACAAAAAAAAAAAAAAAAAAAAAAAAAAAATCAAAGTCTGAACTTTAAATTGTTAGGTAAAATAAATATATATAAATCCCTACATATTAATTCTGAATACATACATTAAAGTGGTTTATTTTTTATTACAAATAATTTAAAGTGCTTAAGTTTGTTAGATTAAATGTTGCAATATATGTTGAGAAAAATGGCATTATATTATTGACAAATTTGGCACATATAAGTAAAGTGTCAAACCTTCCCCATCAAATCATATGTTCTTCAGTGTAACGAGATGAAGTTTATTTACATTTGAATGCAGGGAGCCTGTTCACCTGAGGTGAAAATGGTTTAACTGCCAGTGCCTAGTAGTCAAACACTCAGCTGCTGGTGGAGCTGCTTGAGTGTATAAATTGTATCTCATATTTGGAAAAAAAAAATAATTTTAGAATTCCATCAACAGGTGACAAAAGAGAGAGACAAGGGTATATAGAAATGTGGAAACTACACAAATTCCAAAGGCTTGAGTGATAGTTAATAAGTATCATTGAATATTTGCTCAGTGCATATTAACCTGTGGGGTGTATCATACTGTACAAAAAAGTGGAATATTCCTAACTACTGAAATTCTGTGCTGCATTTAGTAGCTGAGTTTCTAGTAGTGAGTGACTTTCAGAACCACTTTTCCGTTGCCTGTGTGTTTCAGAAAAAAGATTTATCAATATTTTATTACAACTGGGATATGACACACTCCATGCACCTGTCCGCGTAAGTGTTTTTCTGACTGAATATTTATTTGAGAAATTTATTTCTAGAGTGCAACAGTAAATATTTCTACTCGCAAACGATTCTAAAGTATTTGAAATTAAATTCTTAAAGCTTTCTAAGCGCATTATGGCAAAACAAATGACTCCGTATGAATTGGAAATGCAACGGCTGTGAGATTTATGAGAAATATTTGAAAGTGATGAAGCATTTCAGAAACTGAAGATGAAAATAGGAATATTTTCTACACTGTATGGCATCGAAAAAGATGAAATATTAGTTTCTTATGTTTCTAAAAGATGAAAAACTGTTTTTACACTTTTAACATTACATAATGATGATGTTATAGATGACACTACTGAAGAAAAGAAAACACCAGAAATGATATGTTTTTATAATATGACTAAGGGAGCAATGGATACTATGGATGAAACAGCAGCATGCTATTCAATTGCCAGAATAACAAGAAGGTGGCCAATGGTATTTTTCTTTTCTGCACTGAATGTTGCTGTAGTAAATGCTAGAATTATTATTACTTTCAACTGCTAATAATCCATATACAGAAGCAGATATCTGTTTTTGAGAGACTTAGTACTGCAATTAATAAAAAAAATAAGTATTGAACAACGATCAGACATTAATACTTTAACCGAGAAACTTATATACTGCATGCAAAAGAAGAGCAGAATTTTCAAGGAATAATTCAAAAGAATATATGAAATTCAGAGCAACTAAGTATAAAATATGTGATGAATGTCCTCGAGCCAAGGACAGAAGAACGTGAATGCGATATTTAAAATGAGAAAACTTTCTGTGCTAAGAACACATGAATGTATTTTGTTCAAAGGGTAAACAAATAAAATAAGCATTGTGTATTAGATATGCAATAAAACTTAGAGGTATGATGTTTATTTTGTTTATTCTCATTTATCTTAATTTTAACTCTCTATAAGCATATTTTGGAAATTTTTTTTATAATCCAAATATTATTCACATATTATAAAATAAAAACAGCTTTAAAACTAAATAAATATGTTTTTACCGAATTTTAAACACCCCATGCGCCCACTCTAGTAAGTTTTCTTGACGTGCCTTCTGCCTGGTCAACAGGAGATGAGTAATAAACAGAAAGACAATACTGTTCCAGTATCTAGTTACATGATTAAGCTGACAGTCCACACTAGCTAGTCATTTGAACAAGTATGCAAAAAAGATGATAACAGAGGATAAAAGTGATATGGTTGCAATACCAAGAAGAATGGCTTGAATACTGCAACTATTTGATACATCCATTTACCACCCTTTTTAAAGCTCATCTGCAATGTTTTTGCCATGACTGGAGGTGCAATGCTACAGAGATATCATTAACTGGGGAGCTAAAAAAACTGTTGTCTGAAATACGTGAATGAATTATGGTATACCAAAAAATCAAAAAGGTGTCTGAAAGTTTTAAAGTCACATCCATTTCCAAAATGATGGATTAGTCAGAAGACTACAATAAATCACATTAACTGAAGGTGAATAAGCAATACTCTAATTCTGATTTACAGAAATATTGGATAAAGAAGATATAAGGTATATTGGATACCTTTTGTACACATAAATAAGGTGCTAATATTTACCTGACTAGCTGAATTTAAAATATCATGCTTTCATATAAAGGTGAGTTGAAAAATACACATGAATGTCTGTATGTACTCATATGTATACTCGTAACTATATTGAGAAATTATGCATACTTCATATTTATAGCTATGCTTATCAACATAACAATCAATTACTCAATTAATATTATAGTTATTCTTCTGAATACAAAAATTGCCTTCATTTAAATTAATAGATATAGGTTTTATACAATGGAACAATATAAACAAGTAAGAAAAAATTAATTTTGCCTGTGATACACGTTGAAAGCTGTTGAAAATTCCAATTAAACCAGAAATTTCTATAATTATTTATATTGCAATGTACGATGTTTAAAATATTTCCTATTTAACAATAGCTAATCAAAGACTTTCCATTTATTCATTATTTGAGTAAATAACTTTAAGTATAAAGTAATGAAAGTACTGTTCTATCACACCTGCATAGTAAATCTCCATAAAAATATAATTTTAAAAAAATACAATAAAATTTTGTAGTACACATTTGAATAAAAAATATATCAAACAGCAAACAATTTTGAAACTACAAATATGTCTGAATTTACAAACAGCTCATATCTTAAAAGGTAATTTTTAAAAAATAATAAGTTTCAGCATGCTGAAACTGTAAATGCACTGCGTAAGCCACATAAATGGATATAATAAAACATTCATGCAACAGCATATTAGCATAAAAATTAGAACAATCATTCACCAATTTTATAAATAAAAAGGTCTAACTGAAATTTTTTCACAGCTTTCAAACAATGCATTCAATAGATTTGAAAAAGGGAAACTATTATTAAAGAAATTATAAGTATGAAATGAATGTAACAATTAAATTATAAAAAACAACTTTTAAATGAAACAGCATAGTCAGTTAAACACAATACATGATGCCACTGATGTTTAAGAAAAATAACCACATGTTAAGAGAAAAGCTTAAGCTAATAACAACAAAAAATAATTATTACCAGCATTTAAAGCAAAATGAATGCTAACACCTAAAGCAAAATGAATTCTAGTATTTAAACAGGCTAAAGATAACATAAAAACCATTCTTAAGAAAACAGAAAAACAAACACAAATTAGAAGTACACTGAAATTAAAAAAAGGGAAAACCAAATTTAACATATTAATAATAATTATTTAATAACAAGTCATATATAGGCATATATTTTAAATTACTAAATTTACTTGACATGTGTGACATGTGTAATTGTACATGTGTAGTGTACACACACACACATGTATATATACATACTCGATAAATTCAATCAATTTAAAAATCAGAATAAATACACTATCACATCTGATAATAAATAAACAGATGATATTACAGATACAGATGTTACAGAAGATATCTAATATTCATAAAAATGCTCTTTTTTTAATAATGATATAACTCACCACCAGCAGCGGGCAGACCTAATTAGAAATCAAATAAGAATAACAAACTGATAAGGTAAATTAAGCTTCAATTAGTGAAGCATGCAATTGAATGAAGTTTAATGCATTTACAGCACAATGCAATATAAATAAATCAACTAGTAATTATACACTGGAGGAGAAAATTAAAGAAACAATTATAAAAAGATGATATACACTGTGTTTTAAAAAGAATATACGTATTACAAAGTGTTATTTTGTCCAAACTATGAATCACAGCACCTCGGCTTGGCTATTGGTGAAACGAATACATAGTCTAGTTTATATTAATAGCTGCTAGATGTCAGTTGTCTTCTGTTTTGCGTGGTAACTGTCACATGTTTAAAATGGCTACTCCACAGCAGAAATCATATTGTGTTCTCGAGTTTGCAAAGTGCAATTCCGTGATTACAATGCAAAAACGTTTCAAGCTGAGGTACCAAAGTGATCCTCTGAATGGGTGGAGTTTGTAAATACAAGGATGTGTATGTAAAGGAAAGAGTCCTGGCCGCCCTCGTTCCCGACGTGTCACTAAAAGCGCGATTATCTGAATGAAACTCTATGAACCGTTGGATTGGTCGTCAAGGAGCTGGAGACTTAATATGTCTTAGCTGGCCTCCACGGTCACCAGATTTGACACCCTGTGACTTCTTTCTTTGGGGTTTCATTAAAGACAAAGTTTATGTACCATCACTCCCACAAAACCTGGAAGAGGTGACGAACCGGATCTGTACTGCCATAACATCAGTGATGACGGACATGCTTGCCCGAGTAATAGGAGGAATTTGAGTATCGATGTGATATTGTTCATGTCGCTGATGGAGGACAATTGAACATCTGTAATCTGAACTTGAGAGGTTCGTACATATGTGTGTGAAGTTTCATATTCGTATGTCACGCAGTTTAATAAATATATGGATTTGAAATACGTATATTCTTTTTGAAACATGCTGTATTTTAATTCTATTAAAAAAAGTCAATGAAAGGCAGCTGTTTGGTAGATCAAGCTTGATGTTATTGTGTAGTCTAATCAAATTCAGCTTTGATACATACAAATATGCAAATTTTTGAACTTTTTCTTCCAGCATATATCGAAAAGAGTGCAAGAGGATACTTCAGATTTTAATTTGAAGAACTGTATGAGTAGTTCAGTAAAATTCTTACATGTGGAAAATCCAATATAACATTGAGAAGGCATCTGATGGATTGCAAGATATGGTACGAGATTGGAAGAATAGATATGGAACAGACATTGACACAGATCTGTAAAAATGTAAGTAGCCAAGAGCATATGTCAAGAATCTGGAAATGGTTTAGATATTGGTGATATATATGGCCAGGCCAAAGTCAAAAATATGCCACAACAGACATTAAACACTGTTATTCGGCAACAATTGCTAAAAGAAAGATGCACCTGATATCAACCCAGATTGCAAGGAAATTTACTGCTTCTAAAAAAAACTCAACTATCCAGATATATCATGAGAGTTGTGTAAAAAAAAAAAAAAAAAAAAAAAAAAGGCTTTATGCAGGGAACACATGATATGCATCCTACTAACTTGGGCTGCAAAGTGCCCTAGTTACAGTCTCCACTTTACATCACATTTCTTGCGTCCTTATATAAATTTCTTTTTTGGAGATATACACAGTTCTGCATTTTGCAGATATGTCAAGCATGGCAAAGATCTTACACAAATTTCACATTCTTAGCCACGAAATCATTTAAATTAAATGAATTTTTATACTTCTAATTTGCCCACTACAGTGCATACATATCTTTAAATTTCTGGTCTTTCCTTTAATGATGTTCTTACTGATTAACTACAATGAATTAAAAATATATACAATGCATTTACAGTTCATTAACAAAAAGACCAGAAATTTAGAAGTAGAAATATACAGGGTTAATGGAAAGGAAAGCATATAATTAACCACAAAACTGATGACATAGCTCTAATACAATAAGATTACTAAACATTAAAAATGACCTTGGCTCTAATGCTCTAATGTCTAATAGATGTTCAGAATTTTGACATCTTCAAAATTATGGCTAATATTTTGTTTTAAATGAAAGTGCAACAATAATAATAACATAATGTTAAATTTAATACTCATGTTTAAATAAAACAACAAAACTGCTGAAAATTAAGAATTAATTACTTTCTTAAGGCCTTTTAATTATTCATTCTCAAATCCCGACAGACTACTATAGCAAGCTGATTCTAGAAACCAATGTGGCTTTCGCTATAGTCCCAAAGGAATTAACCTAATGGATTACAGTGATACTAAAAAGTTCTGTTAATTTTGACAACAATGCCTACGACAGCAGCACATGTATAGATTTATTAGTTGTGTCATTCTTACATTTCTGTTGTGGCTTCCAAATGTCATACATAATAAAAGGATGGGAATTATAACAAGGTTTCACTTTATTGCATTTAATTTCAATACATGCTCTAATGTCTAATAGATGTTCAGAATTTTGACATCTTCAAAATTATGGCTAATATTTTGTTTTAAATGAAAGTGCAACAATAATAATAAAATATTCATAATAATTCCGATTATAGAGTGCCAGTTTGATAACTAGCACAGGTTGAGCAATCAAAGATCTCACAATTAATTAATAGTTCATTGCAGTAGTTTTATTCTTTTTTTAATATTTTTTAAATAAGTACACATATTAATTTAGATTATTGTGTAAAACAGGTTACTATTCTAATCAAATTATTTCATCAGAAAACATTATTACTCAAAACAGCATACTGCTAACAATTCTTGCTAAGTTAGAATATTTTTGGAACTAGAGATATGCATTAATACTGTATATATAAACCTACCTATACATAACAAAAGAACAAAACTGCTGAGAATTCAAGACATAATGTTGCTGCTAATACCTACTCAGGTAATGAACACTTATACAAAATGAAATACATAATACAGTCTCCCCACAGTGTTTTCATAACTTTGTAAGCCACATTAATGCTTTTATAAATTTAATGATGGATTATCAAAGTAAGAACAGCAGTTACATTTTCAGTACATATATTTAGTAGTTATTGCTTATTTATAAATTTAAAATTTTAAATATACAGAGAAAAAATAATTATAATTACCTTCTTTTTCTTGACCAGTAGAAGCAGTCTGCGTTTGTTTATTATATATTACTTTTTCTTTTGGTGGTATAGTTACTTGATTCACATTTACAAATGTTAGAGAAGGCTTTCTAAAAAAAAAAGATACTTATGTTGAAATAATATTTTTAAAAAGATCTTTTAAAGAAGTGGTGTCAAATTTATATATCCAATAAGTAATTTGATAATTATGTGTCTCAAATAATTTTTAACAGTCTTATTTTTATTTAGAAAGAACTTCCTTGGTTTTATTTAGAATAATTTTGATGATATATAACTGCTATCTCTTTTTATTCATTAAGGTGAAACAAATTTTAAAATTCTTAATGAAATAAATAAGCATTACTAAGCTTTAATCTTAGATTACAGACTGAATAACAGACCTATTTTCAGCATATAATCAATTGTTTGTCATACAAAAATTATTGGTCCTTTTTGATTACCTGCACCTCTAATAAAAAGTCAAGAAAAATATTTGTATTTTCTGATTATCTACACCCTTTTGAAACTATTCAGGAGGTAATGCACCATGTTACCAAAACAGGCAATCCATGATGTCACCAAAATGTATTTATGTGGCAACACAGGTACGTCTGCATATGCAGCAGACAAGAGCAGAGTGATGGTCATTTTTCTGATTAGTGTTTGTTTTTTATTGCATTCTAATACATTTTTTTCCTAGTAAGGAATTGTAATGGGATTGTGGGATTTGCTAGCTGATGAGAAAGAAAGCATTGGATTTCTTCAGAAATATGGTGCTTTGTTCAACAATAAAGAAGGCAAAAATCTGCATTCTGTGCAGTTGTACTTCTTATATGATAAAATTTTTTGGATCAAAATTTGTGCATAATGCTAAATTGATGGAATTCTCTGATTTTTTTTTTAAAATCAAAAATAGATCCCTTTGCACACAGGGAGAATGGCAACATGTACAGTACCAAGTAGAGACAAATGCCAAGTTCGTGCAACTCTCTGATTTTTTTTTTTTTTTTTTAGCTGAAACAGACTTCTATGTACATGTGGAGAAGAGCATGGAAAAAAAAAAAAAAAAAAAAAAAAAGATTAACGTTTTGTTGGAGACAAGAATATTATCTTATCCTGCTCTTTTTCTAATCAGCACATTTTTCATCGACTAGATTTCTTTAAGACACAATAACACGCCGAATAAATACTGATTCAGAAGTCAAACAACAAAAATCAGCGTTAATTCACAAAATTTTCACAGGACTAGTTTCGATGGTTTTACCGAACCATCATCTTCAGCTGCAAAACCGCAAATGAACAAGATAGGAAATAATGTTTAGATAAGATAAGAAAGCCTGGACAAGAATAAGCAAGTGGCGCCATCTGTTGGCGAAACCAGAACTAAAACATAATTTCTCTAAAAGCCGAAGGCAAATTTGGATTGGAATTAGGATCGTTAACTAGAACAGAAAGATTTTTATGAATGTGAAATGCCTCTAGAAAATCCAGTTCTCCAATGGAAGATGTTTTTTGAATAATTTTGGCAGCAGAAAAATTGAAAGTGTGATTTTCGGACCAACAATGTTGAGCAACAGAAGACTTCTACCAACAATGTTGAGCAACAGAAGACTTCTGTGTTTCCTTTTTTCTAACATATGCCTCATGTTCTTTGACGAGAAATTTTAAGGCTCTCTTAGTTTGACCAATGTAAATTAAACCGCACTGGCAAGGAATCCTATAAATACCCCAGGAATTCATATCCGGAATGGGGTCCTTGAGTATAGAAGTTGGAATTTTATTGATGGGAGAGTAAACAACCCGAAAGTTAAATTTCTGCAAAATATGTGCAACTTTATAGCTAATTGATGGAAAGAAGGGAATGACAACAGAATTTTTATAATCTCCTAAAATAAGAGTGTGGCTTTTAGTGTGTTGAGATGAGAATTTTTTAACTGCTTGATTAATAATGTTGGGTGAAAAGCCCCTGTCAATAGCTATTGCTTTTAAATAATTTAGTTCTTCATCAAGGGCTAGTTTGGAGGAGCAAACTTGAAGAGCACGGAAAACATAGGAATAAAATGAAGCTAACTTTTGTTTAGTCGGATGACATGATTTAAAGTGTGGTGGAAGGCAAACCGATGAAGGTTTACGGTAAACTGTAGTACTGAAGTTGGATGTGTTACGTGTGACCAGAATGTCGAGAAACGGAAGAGAATTGCAAGTCTCAAGTTCAAAAGTGAACCGAATAGCAGGATCAATAGAATTCATTGTTGAAAGAACTCTATTTAAATCATCTTTATTACCTTCAAACAGGGTAAAAGTATCGTCTACGTAGCGGAACCATGCCGGGAAGTTTAAAGTTTCAAACAATTTTGATTCATAATAATGCATGTAGATATCAGCCAGGATGGGACTGAGGGGGCTTCCCATGGCTAATCCCTCAGTTTGCTTGTAATATTTATTTTGGAAAACAAAATGTGTTTGTTTCAAACAGAGTTGAGTGAGAGAAATTAGCTCATCAATTTCGATGCAAGAGAAATGAAATTCGCGAAGTCTGGTTTCTAGACATCTTAATGCACCCTCCGCTGGGACATTGGTGAATAATGATTTTACATCAAAAGAAACCATGAGTAAATTACGAGAAATGTTTTTAACCTTTTTTACAAACTCTATTGAATTTTTTATGGTGTAAATGTTATTGTCTAATAGAGTGGAAAATCTAGAAACTAAATATTTAGCCAATGGATACGAGGTAGCACCTAAATTTGATACAATAGGGTGGAAAGGAATACCACTTTTATGAATTTTCGGAAGAGCATATAATCTGGCACAATTCACAACAGATGAGATAAGCGAATGTTTTAAGTTGCCCGAAATGATTTGCGAAGATTTGATCGCAGTTTTTTATTTTGGATAAGTCCGAAGGTGAAGGATCTTCAGGGATCGGATTATATGGTCCTTCGTTTAAGAGTTTAGTGACACCATCGATGTAAGTGTTCTTATCCATGACGACTATCTGGCCACCTTTGTCGGCCTTTGAAATGACAATATCCGGGTTAGAATGAATCTCGCGCATTGTAGCTCTTTCTCTCGCAGTTAGATTTGGTTTCAAAGGTTTATTATTGAATTTCACATTATGAGCGATAAGATGCCTAATCATTTTTTTCTGTGAATCTGAAACTTTACTGAACTTGAAAGCTTTTTTGATAGGAGCCAAAATCTTTGGAATCGAGGGTTTACAGGTTTGTGAGAAGTTAAAATTATATTTTAGAATTCTCTCTTGTTCTTCTGAAAGACTAACATTAGAAATATTAACTATTGGCTTGATGTTTACAATGGGAAGATTTTTTGAACTACTTGAACTGGAAGACTGTAAAAGAAGTTTTTCGAATTTAACTGCAAGGGTGTTTTTATTACGGTTAACTGCATTCTCCGTTCTAGACCAAGACTTTTGTTCAAGGGCAGTGAATTTTGGATATGTTTTAACGAGTTCCAGATGAAGCTTATAGAGTTCATGTTCAATTTTGGACAATTGTTGTGGACAATTAGATTTCTTTGTCTTGAATCAAATCATAATGGGACTGTAGAATTATTTGTGCACTATACAGTCAAAAGTCATTAATCCGGATGCCCATAATCTGGAATGATCTATAATAACCGCGCATATGCATTTATGCATGTGCATATGCATTTACGCATGCGCATTTAATGTATGACGGACGGTATAAGCTAAGCTAAAATTATCTAATTATCTATTTCAGTTAATGTTGCAGATTGCATTGTTCCTTAATCTTTGAATTGGATTCGGCTTATTATTTTTTGCAGATTGTTAGAGCAATTTTATAAAAGTAAGTTTGAACTTTCGATTATGTCAAAAAGAATTTCCGATTCTGGAGCTGCCAAAGGATCTACAAAGCGAAAGCACGTTTCGATGTCCATCAAACAAAAAGTGGAATTGCTGCAAAAAATGGATAAAGGCATATCCTTTGTTTTCTAACCAGTCCGAAATCTGTTTATCAATTTCACGCTGCTCTGCGGGGGTGGGGGGAAACGTTGTGTCGCGCAATGAACTAGAAGTTGATCTTCAGCACTATCCTTATCTTCAAGGCAGATGTTTTTATTTTATTCGGCTTTTAATTCCTTACTAAATGTCATTATAAATATCACGAATCATTATAAATTGTCATTATAAATATCACAAATTAAAAATCTCCTCGTCATTATAAATATCACGAATACACATCAAATAGTTTTCTGGTTGCCATTTTCTAATTTCGACTATGTGTATTGTATGCTTTACGCAGGCGCGCATTGAAAGAAATGTTTAATAAAGTAAACAAATAAATAGTAAGCTTTTTTTTTGTAAATTTTGATACCCTTTAGATCATAATTGCACTTTATTTCATAAATTATGATTTCATATTTTTAATTTTATGATTTCTGCATGCCATCTTACCAGATTTAAATTGATGATCTATAATCCGGAATCACCGAAGTCCCGACAAGTCCGGATTAAAGACTTTTAACTGTATTAGTAATCTGATAAAATTCTTTACACAGCACTTTCTCCCCCCTTGTTATCTTATCCTGAAGTGGCTTCAGTCAATGCCATGCTGTAGTTGACAAGTCATAAGTTTATGTGCTCAATTACTCACACAACACAAGATTTTCTACTGTTTATTTTAAAGACAAAATGCAATATAAATATAGATCTGATTAAATGTTACATAGTTAAAAAATAATTTTAATGCCTACCAGACACTGTGAGAAATGATGTGCGCTGGGCATTATTAATAAAAAGGCAGATAGACGACAACCCTAACTGCTATGCAGCTCGAGAATGATTGCTCATAAAACCTATTTTCATTTTTATGTTGTTTCTTTCTTTGATTTTAAATTAAGGTAAAAAGCATGATATTTTTGTTTTATTCCTCTTTGATAAAGATATTTATATAGATCTTCATACTGTTGTGTAAGGTTCATTACAGACTAAATGCACACAGGTCCAATGATAGCTTGATAAAATTTATTTTATTAAAAAATAAAACTTCACAGATCTGTAACTTTCCACAAAAATAGTCGTATAACTCTTCACAATATCACATAGTGCAATCAGTAGTTACACTTC